AATCCTTGGAGCCGGCGCGGACTCTTTGTCGCGCGCGCGGTCGCCGTCGATGGCCGCGCGATGAGTCAGCGCAAATATGTGTTGCACATCGCTTTTTGTAACCATTATCCGCGGCCTCGACTGCGCGGCGGGCCGCCGCTGCGCCGCGCTGCGCCGCGCCGCGGCCTTTATTCCGCTCTCGGAATCCGCTCCCGGCCGCGGGGATGATCTTCCGTAAATCTCGTCCTTTCGTCCGGCGGATCGGACGCGCCGTAATAAGCGCCGGCGCGTCCGGATCGAGCATCGGCCGATGAAGACAGAACTCCACTACCGAACCGAACTCACCGAATGGTATTACCACTCCTCGCCGCGGGAGGCCCCGGCTCCGGGGCCCGGGCTTACTTTACACCGTCGGATCTTAATTTAATGCCCGTCGTCTCCTCTTTCTCTTTCGCCGTGCGGCGCGACGGAGCGACGCGCGCTCCGCGTCGACGCGTCCTCGGCGGACGGGTGCGTGCACGTGGGCCAACGAAGCCGCGGCGCCGCGATATGTATCGTGTTAAACAGACACTAAATTCCCTCCCATCCCTAGAGAGAGAGAGAGAGAGAGCTTTCGCTGCGAAGACTCTCGCGTAATCGAATCGGTGAAAATGAATTTGACAAGGCACGCACGCGAGCCTCTCCCTCTTCTCGCCCGCGAGTTCATTCAGTCGCCAAGTCGCGCACGCACGTGTCAATTAAGCCAACATCGGCCGATGCATCGAGCGAACGGGTTTAATCGAACCGTGCGATGACCGGGGAGGGAAGAAGAAGAAGAGAAGAACGGACGGTACGTTAAAGGATCCGGTGGACCGGAACGAAAGGATACACGTGAGCGTTACGCATGACGATCGCGGACGACGTGTAATCATTATCGTAAACGTATTAAATCCGATCCACGCGGCGCGAGACGCGGTTCGATCCGTGGCAGGCAGGCAGCTCTCTTCGGTCGCGCGCGGACGTGATCGTTCAATTTCCGCGCCATCGCGCCGGAAGATAAACGATCGGCGGCGGCGGCGATCTCGCTTAGCGTTCGTATCGCCTGTTGCACCGCGCGCCGGCAGGACCCGACATGTGTTCTCCGATCTCGCGGGGTCTGTACTCGCCGGCGAGTGACACGCACGCCTACCGGTGCCTACAATGTACCAGCCTTTTCACAGCTATTTGTAAACGTCAAGGGCTCTCTCCTTCTCAAGACGCTCCTTCTCAAAAGGCCGTCACACACGGCGTCATACTTTCGCGTGCGCGCGCGCGCGCGCGCGCGCGCTAGCGATGGCAACGACGCTTTCGTAAGGATGTGCCCGAGAGCGGCGACGATCTCTCGTCCTCCGAGATTCCCCGGTACGCGTGTCGACTCTTGGGGTTCGCGCGCGTCGCGCGAACGGACAAGATGAAGTCCGTCGTACTCTGTCGTAGCCTCGACGCTTTCGAGCGTGGAAACGACACTGGAAGGCGCGGTCGACTGTTTACCGAGAGCGCACCTTGACTGACTCGATCCCATTCCTATCGCATCGGACAAGCGTGCGCAGGATAACGGGGGAATCCGTAGCTCGAGGCTACGGCGCGTCCTCGTGATCGATGGAGGCCCTTCCACACCTGCATATTACGCTCCTCGCGTACGATCACTTGGCAATCGTAATTTAGATTGATACCTGCGCTCCGTTAAGTATCGCGCGTTTAGGCAGGGCGCATTTTTATTAATGGGATTTCGAGCCACAGTGGATCGTGATGGATCGCCGTCAGTTTAGACGGCAGATTATTATCTTTCTGATTTTCTCCCTCGCTGCGCGCGTCTCGGGCTCTCCGTCCGTGATGCATACGCGGGGTGCATCGTGATCAATACGACGGCGGCCGCTGCATGGGGGGGGATGCGCTCGGGGAATGACGATTCGTAATTGTTAAAGGCCTCTTCGGGACGGTCAAGGCGGCAGCGTGCATCGTCTTCTCTCGCGCGCGCGGGAACGAATTGACTCGTGTCTCGACAATTAGTTACGCGATAACCCGTGCAGCGAATATACAAAAAAGAAGCGCACCGGGCTCGTTATTGAGGGAACCTGCGCGCGCGCGCGCGCACGCACGCACGCACGCACGCACGCATGATGCACCTTACGTTACCGTTGCCATCAGTTTAAGCTCGGATAAACCCGGGACACTTTTAATCACGCAAAAAACTGTCACGTGCGTTCTTCCGAAGGCAGATACGATATCTGCGCCGGCGACACGATGTGCAACGATGTCCGCGTATCGCTCCTCGCTCCGTCCCGCGTCATTAATTTCTGATAATCTGTAACACGTTCGGCACGACGACAGATGCTGCGCTCTCCGCGTCCGACAGAATGCCTCGAAATATCGCGTTTGTTAAAAAGAACGCGCGCGCTCATTTTCTCATCCCGCCTCCCGAGCTAACAAACTATCAGTGTTACTTTGTCAATAATTTTTCAACGACCATCCGGAGAATTGATCGTCGCCGCGCGAGAGCGCGCAGGGCCGCGGCTGTACCCCGCGTCGTAATTATATATATATATATATATATACACATACGAATACACGCAAGCTCTCTTTTTCTCGAAATATCCCGGCTCTTCGCCGATCTTACCTTCCCACCGAATGCGCGGGATGGCGCGGTTTCAGCGTACCGCGTCGACGTGAAACGATCTCGTTCCTGCGCGACGCGACGATAGTTCGTTCGATCGGCCTCAATTTACATGGCCGCTTCATTCATCCACTTAGCGCGCTCATTACGCGGCCGATAGCAACGAGCATTTTGCGCGGCCATTTCATACGGACGTAACATTAAATTCGGTCGAGTCCGCAATCACGCGCGTTACGCGCGGCATTATATAAAACGTTCCGTTCCGTACGGCATCGTAATTAGTCCCCCGAATGACGGCCACGCTTGCGCATATTAAATCATTACGGTGTTTATGTAAGCGGGCATTAAGTTGCGGCGGAAATGCCAATCGCCTTCGTTGAAGCCGGCGATTTCGACGATCGAGCGAGCCCGGCTCTTCGAGTCTATATAACATGTCGGCTACTTTCTATGAAACTTCCATCTCTTGTATGCCGTCTAGAACGAGAAGGAAAATATGGACGGGTTTAGGGTACCTCGGTGCTTCTCGCGCTGCGAGCGACCTTACTCTCGATCGTGTGCCGGCCGGCGTGTGTGTGCGTGCGTGTGTGTGTGCGCGCCGCATGCATTCTTATTGCGACCTTATTGTGGCCGTGATAAAATGGCGAAACGCAGCGCCGATTTCGCGAAGGCTCGCCGAGGCAATTTGCGGCCGATTTACCGCGCTGCGATCGTAGATCGCGCGCGTTCTGCCGATATCGGATTCGTTAATGGCGATCTCGTAAAGGAAACGTCGCGATTATTATCGGATTCTACTGGGCGAAGGCCGGGCCGGGGAAGAAAGTAGTCCACGAGCGCGCGCGCGCGCGTGCGCGACACGATTGTCCGCTAATAATAATAATCGCGATGGGGATAAGATAAACGCGTGTTGGCGCGGATATTCGCCTCGGGATATTTCTTTGTTCTTTCGAAACTCGCGCTTCGGCGAGTCAGCATTGCCGATCGCCGATCGTTTGGTCAAGTCCCGCGCGGCGAAGTGAGGCGATGGCGAGGCGAGGCGAGGCGGCTGCGCTCGATTTTGACAAAGTGTGACGGCCTGTCGGCACGTGTCGGGTTTGCGCGCGCGTGTTGCGACTTCTTCCGATGTGGCCTGTTCGCTCGTTACTCGGAGGATAGCAATCGCGATTGACGCTGCAGTTTGTAAATGGACTGTAGCCGCGGGCGGCTGTCGATTAACCTTTTCGCTACGCTACGGTATAATCGGGTAACGTTCGCGACTGCTTGCAACACGTTGTCTCTTGGAGATTATCTGCAGATACGGTGGAAATACATTGTTAGAGGGTAGATTGGTCGTTTGTTGGGATTTTTCTCGCGCCGTTGCGAGCATTTTAATTGACACGCCAGTAACCTCGGGAGAGAAAAAGGCCAATGTGAATTTCTTCATTTCTCTGTTGTAAATGATCTCGCGTGTATACATCTATACAGCAAATGGCTCTCAGCCTGTAAAAACTTGCCGATCGCAGGCGTAAGTTGAAAACCGAGGACAAACATTGCTCCTTTCTCCCGCACCGTACAGGTCGCCGCGTGTATTTTCTTAAGGGGACCGGCGAGGAAGGTCAGATTGCTGAAAAATCCTGCTTGTTTTTGACAATATTTTGCGATGAACTGAATAAATGTGCAAGAATGAAAATTGTACGTATATTTATACAACATGTGAAGAGTAGAAAAATTTTGTTTATTAACAAATACTCATATAAATATACGATATATATATATATATATATATATATATATATATATAGCTGAAATATACTCTCCTTTTTTTTTCAAGTTGTCGTTTTTGCAGTAATACGTATCTCGGCTCTCGGTGGTCCGATCAGAGCGAATTTTAGCTAGAAATCTTAAGGAGGCTTATCGTTATCCGGTGAAGCACTATAAAAAAAGAATCGAACAAAATTAACAAAATGGCAGCTATTATTAGGAAAAAATTCAAATTTTTCAGTTCTTTTACAATAAAAAAAATTAATATCTCGAAATGAAATATTTTGACGGAGTTGTCCATAGCTCACCTGAGAGCCAGACGAACAAATATTATTGCTTTAAAATCGATACGAAGCTCAGTTTCGGAGAAATCACTGCAAAAAGTTGAACAATAAAATTTCGAGAGAAACGCGTTCAAAATTTAAGTGGACGTATATTTATATGAATATTTGTTAATAAACAAAATTTTTCTACTCTTCGCATGTCATATAAATACATCAAAAATTTTCATTCTTGCACATTTATTCAGTCGGTCACAAAAAAATTATGAAAAAACAAGCACGATTTTTCAGTAATCTGACCCTCCAGTCCCCTTAATTCGATCGAACATGCGCGGGCACGTTTGTTGTCGCAACAAGTAGTTCTTTCTCACCTAGTTCGCCGTGGCTCCTGGATCTGCCCAAGAACGAGAAGGGCTATCGCGATCGTCGCGATATCACCGCGACGCATCTCTTACATCACAATCACCTTGTTGTTATTGAATGCATAAAACGGATGTGCACGCGACAAAGTTTTACGCTTCCGCGATCAGGCCGGGTGGGCGCTCGCCGGAAGTCCCGTCGTTCGCTCGAAACGAACCGACCCCGTTCCGTTGCCGGGCCGGATCGGCTGCGATCTGTGTGTCGCGCAGTTTCCGTTACACCACTTGACGAGTACGCTCCCACGAATCTCTCTCGTCGGCACGTATATTTTATAACTGTGTAACTTTGTCTCTCCTCAGTTTGCCCAGCACTGTCCGCGAGCGTCGCGACAAGTTCCCGGAGCTTGTCGCGATTTCGATCACTCCAGGTTCTCGTTAGCGCCTTGTAGCGGCGGCGGCGGCGGAAAGCCGCGAGCGCCGGACAGGTGCGAAAGAGTCCAACTGCAGAGCCAACATTTGGATTTTCTAAAGTGTTTGCGCGCTTAACACTCCCGCCCTGCCGCGCGGCGAGAGTGTTTACCGTCCCCAAATACTCTCTCGGGAAAGGTTCCCTCTTGGCGGTGACTAAGCGACGACGACAGTTTTCTTTCGCGCAGCTTCTCGATCGCGCGTATCAATCACGCGCGTCTTGTCACGGCTCTCTCTCTCTCTCTCTCTCTCTCTCTCTCTCTCTTCTTCTCGTTCTTCGTTGCTGATAATTAAGATCGTGGATTCAGAGAGATCCGGGGCTGCTTCAGAGATGCTCGGATTCTCGGATGAACGGCCGTGGTGAAAAGAACCGCGGATGATGAACCGAGTCGTCGTGCTCTCAAGCCCGCTGTGTCTTCCTTCTTTGAGGCGGACTGCCGCGTTATCGGCGGAATGTAACTTTAAGCGATTTACCCGGTTCACCTTAATGAGGCGCGATCGCCGGACAAGACCGCGGCACGGCTGAACCGACTTACTTAGAAAGTCTATCGCCGATGCGGTGGATGCGTTTATCCGAAGCAGACGCCGGCGAGTCGGTTATCCTAATGGGCACACGACGAATACGCACGGCTGTCAGTGAAGAGGACGTCAGTGAATAAACACTAATTAAAAAGATAACTATGTGCCGTGCTTATCTCGGTGCGGCAAGTACTTGAATAGCCGAGCTCTCGTACCTCAGATCGCGCGGACACGCGACTCAGGCGTTATCGTCGAGGCACGGCGATCTTGCGCGCTCTCACGCGAGAATATCGGCGGCCGATTGTCCTCCTCCTGGGGGAGGAGATCGTCGTGGTCGTTGTTGTCGTCTCGTTAACAATTTCGATGCCGAGGGAACTTATCGGCCAGCTCATCATCGTTACTCCCGCGACGCTTAACGATCCTCTCTCCTTGGCCGATCGCAGCGGCGAGATCGCGCGAACCGCAAGCAAGCACCGGTGATCAATCGTCCGGCAGTCACGAGAGAGAAAGCAAAAGAGAGGGGAGGGGAGGGGGGGGTGGGCGGGATAGGAAGAGAAAGAGGAAAGGAGAAAGAGAGGAAAAGATATGTGGTTGCTTCGCGCTTACGCTTCGCGCTTACACCTCGCCATCGGTGAGGTCCACCACTCGTGTCGGTCTGTAGCCGGCGACGAACGGCCGCGAAGAAATCCGGCGCTCAAAGAGCACCCTCCCGACGAAGAGGAGCTACCGGTTCTTATTGTCTCGTTGTCTTATTGTTCCGCCGTGTCAGTCCCTTTGAGTCCACGTCTTGTCGACTCGCAGCTCCTCGCCGCGAACAAAGCGACGCGAAGAATATCCCTTGTCTTCGTCCCCGCGAAGCTGTTTCACGCGACTTCCTGTCCGCGCTGTCGAGCGGTCCGTTTCCTTTTTGTTCGGCGATCAGCCGATCTCTCGCTTGGTACCAAAGCGCGCGCGCTCGCGCTCGCGGGTCTCCGAGATTCTTTCTCCTCTCGTTGACGCACGTTCGATCAAGCGATCAGCGTCGTCATCGTCGTTGTCGTGGTCGTTGTAGGCGTTGTCAGCGCAGCAAATCGACGAGTCTCGATCGCGGCTCTTCGTGAGCGTGAGTGAATATGATCCAAATTTCAATAGTCGATCGTTCCTGCGCACCGACGGCACGCGAGAATCGTCATCATCCTTCCTCACTCGTCACCGTACCTCGAGGTCATACCTCCCGGCACGTTGTTACTCATCATTCGTCCGCTCGAAGCAGACGTCGTCATCGCCTAGCGTGCGCCGGAGACCGCCTCGCCTCGCCTCGCCTCGCCTCGCCTCGCCACGCGGATCGATAAGTGTCCTTTCCGCGCGGTCGGTTTCGTCGGCGAAGGGCGCGCGCGCGCGCGCGCGCAGGAGCTCGCTCCTCGACGGCGACGTTGTACAAGCTGCTGAGAAAGACGGACGATCGATCGCGCGCGCGCGCGCGCGCGAGCGATCTATCGGACGTGATCGAGCGGACGACTCTCGGTGCCGTGTGGTGTGCCGTGGTGTCGCGTGCGCGACAACACCAACCGCGTGCGGGAACTGGAGCAGAGGGTAACTGTGCAAGGTGTGCGCGGTACAACCTGGTGCTCAAGGTAACCACCACCACCACCACCACCACCACCACTACCTCCACCACTACCACCACCACCACCACCACCTTTAGTGGCGTCGGTACCGCCGCCGCCGCCGCCGCTACCACCGTCACCACCACCACCACCACCACCACTGTCACCACCACCACCACCACCGTCACCACCACCACCACTGTCACCACCACCACCACCAACGTCGCCGCCACCGGTATCAACACTATGACCAACGACACGGTCGGCGGCTCGCAACAGCAAAAGTTCGTGGCATGTGGCTGGGGAGTCGCGCTTTAGGGTTACCCGGGGAGTTCGACGAGCAGCGCGCGTGCACATGGGAATTTGAATGAGCGGGCAGAAAGTAAAGCGCGTTCGGTCGAGAGGAGGGCCCGCGATGGACTGGCCTCGGCACAATCCGAGTCCTCCTACCTTTGGGATCAGGTCCCAGCCTCTACGATGTTACCTCTACGATCCTACCTCGGCCTGTCTCGCTCTCTTTCTCGCTCTTTTTCCTTACGCTCGCTTCGTCTCTTGATCTTTCTCGTCTCTCTCCTTCTCCTCCCCCTCTCTCTCTCTCTCTCTCTCTCTCTCTCTCTCTCTCGCCTCCCTCTTTCGCCAACTCTCCCGTTCTTTTCCCTCGTTCTTACTCTCTTCCGTCTCTCTGCTTCTCTTCGTTTCGTTTCCACCCGGTTCCCGTTCCCTTTCCTCCGTCAGCATCGCTGTCCCGCGCCGCGCGTTATATCCTCGCGGCCGCTCTTCTCGCTTTGCTTTAGTTTGAAAGTTACCTGCCCGCCGTTCGCCGATGCTCTCGTACGCCAGATCGCCGTACGTCTATATCCGCGAAATCACGTCAGACAGCTCGCGGTAATAACGCGAGAAGACCGAATTACTCGTTAGATTGGATCACTTGGATACCGACCTCGGGTCTCGCGCGAAACGAACGTGGGTATCGAACGCGCGATAGAGCATATCCGTATATCGCGGCGGATTTTTCTCTTGCGTTTGCGCACGGGGCTGCGCACATAACGAACGTGGCAGCCGAGAGTCTGGTGTGTTAGCGTAAATAACGACTGGAGAATAGCAGAAGATAATTCTCTTGCAGTTTTTTTCACGTCACGATACGTTACTTTGGATTCACGAAGGGGCCCGTCGTGAGAGAGCGAAGGCGAAGGCGCGCGCGAGGCGTGAATTTGAATCGTTTAACGCCCGGCGCCGACTCGACAGCCCGATTAAATCGTTCGATTAATTGAATCCGTTCTGCACGAGCGGGATAATTGACTGCCCCGTACGTACACCCACGGCCACGACGGAGAGCAAAATATTGCTGCGTATCGTTATACGCGGCGCGGCTCTTTTTAGCGCGGCGCCCATTGTACTTGAATTTATTCACTCTCACGTGGGCTTAGCCTCGCAAATTATAGCGCAAAAGCTTTACGAGCCGCACACAGGCGGAATCTCGCGCCCATACGTGCGGATGTGGCCGGGGCTTCGGAATGACGGAACGAATTGATCAGCTTAATTCGAGATAATAGCGTGTCTAACTCCCCGGGCTACATATCGCGCGTTGTAGCGCGCGATTTATCGCGCATAAGCACACAAGAAACGCGGAATCGCATATCGGTATCGAAATTACGTGTAAATAAGACGCGTGCGCAACTCGATCTCTCTCTCTCTCTCTCTCTCTCTCTCTCTCTCTCTCTCTCTCTCTCTCTCTCTCTCTTTGTTACGTTCCGCGAGAGCGGCTGACTGAGGAGAGAGAGAGAGAGAGAGAGAGAGAGAGAGAGAGAGAGAGAGAGAGAGAGAGAGAGAGAGAGAGAGAGAGAGAGAGAGCATCACTCTCACGGGCAACAGCACCGAACGAATCTCAAAGTTCGTTAGTATCCCCATGACGTTATGCAACAAAGGAGAGGCGTAATGAGTGATACACATCCGCGCGCGAAAGTTCGATCCTATCGCAGGCGTGTTTCGTTTCGTGGGTGGATCGGCCGATCGGCCCGGTCGATTCGCGATTCGTGCGCATGATGTACGAGAGGTGTGCCGCTCGTCTGAACATATAGTCGGAATATACTCATTGACGCGCTCGAGGTAGCAGCGGAAGAATCCTCCGTCTCGTTGTCTATCTATAGAGAAGGGGAGGGAATATCAGCGGGACGCGCAGCCCCCTTCGCGATCTCCACGATCCGGTCTGCCTCGCGACCGGACTGATCGAGCATTAAAGTCGTGATCAACGACACGGGGATATCCGCTACGTAAAATATAACGCTACGTTTAATTGGTGCTCGCGGCTAAGAAGAACGCGTTGAAAGTCAAATGATCGTCGCCACGATAAACGAGCGGAGATGCTCACATTTGGCCGAGCTCTTACCTCTCTTAACTGGTCCGACGGCCAGGAAAGTCGTCGGTGCCCGGCTTCGAGAACAGCGTTCGTGACATTGGAAATTAGTATGTTGCACTCCCGACAATTTTCTGGCCTTTATAGACCCGTGGCATGCGAAACGCGAGCGGTCGGTGTATGGAAACGGTGGGGCGAACACACACACACACACACACACACACACACACACGCGCGCGCGCGTAGGGGGCGATGAGAGTTTTATTCAGAGGACGGATCTGCCGAGTCGCGTCGCTTATGCGACGCGGCTCCCCTCTGCTTTTCGAGGAAACGTGCATGCCGTATAACAACCAGTAGGGGGGAGGCCCTTGAGCGAATTCCATTAATTATATATCATTACGTCGTAATTGTACGCCGTATGTTTGCGGTTTTAAGGGGGTCCCGTCGGCGTCGGTTCTGCCGTCCGCGTACGCGACCGACGGGATCCGGCGCTATCAAGACGGGGGAAAAAATAAGGCGGCCGACCCCCGGCAACGCGCTAAATATGCGAGCCTCGTGTCTGCGAGAAACGGATGCTTCGGGAATCCGCCGTGAAATTCGGCACGTTCGTTTCCACGGGTGTCTCTACCTTCATCGATGCGTTGTCGACTCGCTTCTCCTCGTTCCTCTCGCTTGGCTGTCGAGGTTGCACGCGATTCTCTCGCGGAGACGGAGTAACCGTCATCCCGACATGAACGTTAGCGACTCGTAATTGTCCGCAATCGCTCTATTCGTATCGAGTGAGAACAAACGACAGGAAACATGTCCGGTGGCGCGCGCAGAGTGACGCATTCGCGCGCGGCCAGCAATCGGCTCGGAAGAGAACTCATTTGTGGAAACGCGTTGAAATCTCTCTCTCTCTCTTTTTTTTTTCCACGGGCAACCGTAAATAGCAGCTCCGTTCGTTAAAATTGCCTACGATCTTGCGATAAGCGCTCTGTGCATAATTTGATGATTAAATCGGCCGAGGGGCTGACGGGGAGGGCGACAATAGCATCGTGCCTCGGAGGAAGCTGCGTTGCGTCGTCACACGATGTAGCGCGCGCAGATACAGACACAGGACGTGTAAAATACGCGCGCGCGCTCCGAACGGCGGTGAGAGAGGCCCCCGTTGCAATGTGCTGCCGTTGTGCGAATTCCCGTCTCATGCTCGCCTTAGGCCTTAGGCGAGGCGTTCTCCTTCCGCCGCGCGCGGCGCGCCCGGCAGATGGACACCGTAAAAATGTTTACAGCCCACCGTGAATTTCGAGCGCGCGGTTTTCACGCTGTTGCGCTTTAATGGGACATCATTAGCTTTACGATGGCGGACAATTTATATCGCCATTTAATTACGACGCTTTACGGACAATGCGACGTAATAATGCTGTCACCGGTGTCGCAACTAAACATGTCATCATGAGCGTCGTGCGCGCGATCCGCTTAGATGCGCACTGCAAGATGATCGCCGAGAGACGAGATCCGTGGACTTTTCTGTGAGACTTCGACTCTCTCTCTCTCTCTCTCTCTCTCTCTCTCTCCTCTATCCCCCTCTGAAGATAGCGCGCGCGGTCCGTCCCAAACAGAGTAAACACGTTTCCTTTACGGTGTCGTTACTAAGGGCCCGCAAGGGCCTACCTCAATCTTTTATATCTCGCCGGCGTACAATACTGCTGGTAAGCCGAAACTGGCTAACCCGTGTAGAAAGACATTGTACCCACGGCAAACATCTGCTCGAAATACAAACCGCTAATAGAAACGCACAAAGAAATATCACGAATGGCGAGAGGAGCATTAGGGGGGAAGCTACGGAATTCAACGTAGTCGGAGCGGACATCGCTCCGGTTTGGGATGTAACGAAAAAAAGAAGAGGAGAGTGGAACAAAAGAGTTAATTGAGTAATCCAACTTTGAGGGAGAGGGTGTACGAATGATAGCGATGAGAAGGAAAAGAAAAGAGAAGAATTGGGCAAGCGTGCGTCTCACCGTAAGGAAGATATTATTAATCGCTTCGCAAAAGCGCGATATGGGAAACGCGCACGTTATTGTGGAAGGGCGATTTTCTATCTTCTGCCGGAAACCTCTGCGCTCTCGTAAATCAAGCGATGACGGAATCTGCGAGAAAGCGTCGGACTCTGCGAGAGAGTCTCCTTCTCACCCGGAAACTCGCGATCGCGCGGCGATTACAGGCGCGCGCACGTGCCCGATTCTAAACACGCGAGCGCGCGATCGTCGATTTCGACGATAATCGATCGATAATCGGCTAATACGTGGCGCAGCAATTCAACCGGTGAAGAGGGCGGGCAGGGAAGGCGAACGAGGAAGAGAAAGAAAAGCGGAGGGTTGAAAAAGATTGGCGTCGACCGTCCTCCTCTTGGCCATTGGTTGCCAACACGGCGAGAAAGAAAGCGAGAGAGAGAGAGAGAGAGAGAGAGAGAGACTCCTTTCTAGCGTGGGTCGGCTGAGTATTTAATAGGAAGCAACGAGCAACAGGTATAAGCGAACTCGCTTGGGTTACGCCCATTCCGACGCGCTTCTCGTCGCACGGCCGCTATTTTCTCTTTATCGGCGTGGCTTTGCTCCCTTCTACGATATTTCTCGCCGACCGGAAAGCGCCGTCATGAAGCTGCGCGCTTCTCTCGGAGCGGCTCGGC